GGCCCAGCCGCTGCCGTTCCACGCCTCTGCCTGCAAGGGGCTTCCACCACCCTGGGGGTGAGTCCTTCCACGGCAAGAGGCTTCTCTCGATAACCCGCGGAGAGTTCGGGGGCACGGGCTGACTGCCTCGGCCTCCTCTCCTCTGCGGCCCGAGCTTTCAGTCAGTGGGACATGAGGTAACTCGAAAAAGCGGTACCAAGAGCAGGCGCCTGAGCGGGGGAGGATTCACCCGCCAATGTCCTGCCCTCGCGCGGCTTTAAATCGTTGCTTGTGCCTCTGGTAACCTCCATATCTGAGGGGTTTTTTTGTGCCATCGGTAACTAGTTCGAGTACCTGACGGTTCCTTCAAAAAGGAAACCCTTCCCAATATAATTAATCCAGAGCATAATCCCGTTATTGCTAAATAGGACAGTAAATGTGACACTAAATATGCAGCCCAGGTCTTACACGTACCTGTAAACAGGGTGTGACAGCAAACAGCATATAATGCAAACAGCACAGGTGCAAAGGTGGGGTCCAACCGCTTCATATACGTTGCCACATAAAAGCAAAAATCTCAGCATAGGGTTTGGCGTCATGTTCATACGGTGTTGGATCGGACCGCTCAGCAATAAAAATGCTGCCCGGTCAACAGTTAGAGTGGCTATAAAAGAGGTAGGACTGTATGCAGGAAAAAGGAATTGAAGAACACTCCTCATGCAAAATACAAGTATTGCTACATGCATCTGTGTATAAATACATCTGTTCACATTTCAAATACAACAAGGAAAGATGTAGAACTATGATGTAAAAACCTGTCTCAAGTGAGAGAATCACTGTGGCACACAGTCTTCTAGACCATTTCAATTAAACTACTGCAGTCAGGTTCACTGAAAAGCAAAAATAATGACAGGCTGCGAAACCCAAAATATGATTTGGTTCATCGAGCATGTTCTAACAATCAGAAAACTGCACAAGGAAGATAATCCCTTCTTTCATGTATTAGGCAGTTTAATGACACAATTACTTCTCACTGAAGGCAGATTTCGTTAATCTAAGTGTAAATTAAGCTTCTCTCATTTCCTTTACCTGCAGCCACCAAAAAGACTGCTCTTTCAGCAATAATGTTCTGCACTGCACAGAAATCAAGAAGGAATGACTCCAAGGATTGAACCTTAGAAGCATGCCCAACAGCTCCCAGAAGGCTGGAACATGATTGCTACATTTGGGTAATAACATCATATTGTATTACTGTCATTAGATCAGCTTTGTGGATAGAATTTAACTGTGTTCTTAAAACACATCTGAATAAAAATCATTTTGCACAGCATTCATTGCTAGTTTAGACATCTTTAGAGGCTGATGATGTTCAGCTTAACCTGCCAGAATTTCCTTTGTTTGCAGAATCAGGCCCATCAAAATAACTGGCAACATAAAACCTCCTATTTAAGAATTTCTTGCACATGCTTGCAGTATTTTAAAGGTGTATTTCAATTAAATTTATTTTCAGTCCTTTGCACCCAGCTACCTGTGCAAACCAACACGTGAAAGGCACCGTGTCACATTTAGACCTTCCCGTAAAGAAAAAAATATTTTAAATTAGTTGAGTATTTTTTTCAAATATTGGTCTATTTCTTGATTCTTCCTCAATAGTATTTAAATAAACCCAGACAGCTTCAATGCTTAAGATCTCAGGACTAGATCTGTAGATGTACTTTGGTCCCTAATGATGCCTACTCTGCAATTTTCTAAAAGTCTTCAGTATAAATGAAGCTGCTACTTTGCTCTAGTAAATCCTGGTAAGATGTCCACCTGCCATCGTTAGGTGCCTAAGCCCTTTTGTAAATCTTTTTTTTAGTGAGTAAACATATGGAAATTTTCTCAGTTAAATTAAATTTACTTCATCTATATTGTTCTCTTATGTGAGGATTTCCTTAATTTCTGTCTACTTACTCTTCTTAAACAAGCCTTTGTGCACTTCTCTGCATCCCAGCAGATGATCTCCTGCACTCCTGCCCAGGCTCAGGCAGTTCATTTCCTTCACCTGTTTTTTGCCTTATTTTTTTTCTAACTATTCACAGCACAATAGGATTACTGACCTATTCTTGGAAAATTTTGCAACACAAATCTGCCAGGAGTTCCAGTGAAGTGCCTCATTCAGGGAAGTTTTGTGATGGAGATCAGTCATATTAGTGTTAACTGCAGCTAATAAAAGTACTGAAAGGCCATTCCAGAAAGCACAAACCGGGTACTTTTACAACCAAGATCAGATCCTTGCACTATCTGCCCATTTTGCTTTTTGCAGTCTTTTCAGTAGGCCTGGTGTTTAAATACGGTGCTAGCACGCAGCTAGAATCCCAGTTCAACCTGCAGTCTAATTTACTGTATAATTTATTCTCTGTGTTAGTCTGATGCACTTCCTCGTATAGTAATATCCTAAATAACTCAAAATAATCAATTATGGGCACTTTATAAATTAACCGCATACATTTGCACATTAAAGAACCCCCAGTGCAGCTCTTCCTCTACTTTTTGTCATGTTCACAGTTGTTAGAGGTAAATATATTACTCCAAATTTGGCCTGTTTATCAGATACCCATAATTTTAAAACAGTGGCTAAGGTTACCTGCCCGGGGACAGGAAGCACAGCAGAAGGGACAATCTTTTCAGCAATGCTTACAATGTAATGACATATGTTCAGCTGTGCACCAGCAACAAATCTTCATTTCTATTGCCATTTGAGAGACACTGTGCATGACCTCAGTTTTGGCATGACTTTCTCAGGCAGTTTACTCCTTTCTCATTGCAAGGTGATTTCAAACCCTTAAGAGTTGCCAGCTTTCAGATGTAAAGCATGAACTTTGACAGTAGGGGTAGCAGAGGAATTTATTGTTTGGGGTGAGGTGGGGATTGAGTGGTTTAGAAAACCAAATCCACCACAGCAAAGATTACATTCACCTTTTGCCGGCTGAAGTTTTTGATGGATAGGGTATGATTTGTTGCAACAATATTGGCAAAATATCCAAAGATATGGAGGACAAAAATGATCGGAAACTAGTGTGGCCTCTCTCCCTTGGTTCCAACGATCCAATCCCTGTCTTTTTTATTACTTGAGCCACACAACAATATCTGGAGTTAGTATTGTTATCTTTTATTGCATGAATTATACTACACATGCACGCTCAGAATAATAAAACCGGGTTTAATATCACAAAGGGTTGGTACTTCACCGGTCTAGGAGAAAGCTGTATCTGTGATACACTGATCAGATGGGGGATTATGTTCCAAGGATGATGGAAAAGCTGATTAAACAGCAATACCAAATTCACTTCCTAGCTCATTAAGGGAGAGCAAACAGTATTAGGCAACATCTTACAAGGAGTCTTCTGTGATGCAACTCATCACAGAAGTAATGGTTGTAGCAACAAGGGCCCAATATCCAGCTGTGAACACTGCAGATCAATTCACACAAGACTTGACAAAACCAGGTAGCAGTAGGAAACAAGACAGCTCACCAGAGGCATTTGGCAGGCATCAAGCAAGTCTTTGGAATAATTAATTATTATTAATTAGGTAGGAATGGTAATAGGAGAAAAATGGTAGGAGAAAAACACAGTTGCAAGAACAAGACTGGACCTCAGTGATGGTTCAAGGACTGCATATGGAAATATATATGCCTTTTTAGGCATACCTTAGATAGGACTTTTGGAAAAATGATAAATCTTTGTTTTGAATCTTCTACAGAGTGCTGTGGTTTGGCAGAGAGGACAAAGCAGGAATTACCACTTCTATTCCTTAGTAAGCGCAAGGGCATCTAAAACACTTCACAATTGCACTACAGCATTGGGGTACAAGTTGGTACCAGAATGCATCTTCCCAGGAGAGGCAAAGCTGGACTTGCTGAGCCTACTTCCTTATCGTGAAGTCAGTAGTTTTACGACCTCCTTCAGCCTGGGGCCTATCTACAGGTTTTCAAAGATTCTGTTACCACTTTAGATATTTATAGCTCAGAAGCCTAAGAACAATTGTATGAGGCAACTTATTTTTGAATAAAATCCTGGTTTATTATAATTCAATTTACACAAGCATGTTAAAGAGATTTTAATTGGATTTTTTTTTTTTTTTTTAAAGACAGAACTGCACCATTGTAAAGCACTGCAACAGAATATAAAGCAGCTATTCTCTTGCATCATGCCCCTGCTGCTCCTCTTCAGGAATTAAAGGCACAATGTTTCAAGGAAAATAATTACTGGAAGTATCAAATCAAGACTTTCTGCTTTTAGTAAGCTAAGTAAATTTTGCATATAGCATTACTCCTTTAGCTTATCCACGGTTTGACATGAAAATCTAAACTCTTCATAATTTAACCATGATGCTTACGTTGCCCCAATGCAATTCATAGTTCTTTAGCAAGATCAAGAACAGCTATAGTTTACGGGCAAAGCCTGAAGTATTGTACTAGCAGTTAGTGAAACTAAGATGCTAAGATACATTTACCTTCCAAAGCTAGATTTATTCATGTGTTATTTAACCTAAACTCTAATCACACCAAATAGATTGTGGATGAAAAGTAGTTCCAGTGAGGAAAGTACAGAACATCAGTTTTCAAACATTTTAAATTAAGAAACGTGCTAGCTGCCATTTTAGTGGCAAGAGAGACCCTCTCCTGTAAGTGATAAGGGTTTTTACTCAGCTAAAATGTGCAAAGAAAAAAGTGTCAAAGTGAGAGAAATATCACCAGTTCGTATTGGACACAAGGGAACAAAATCCTTATGAATTAATTCCTTTAATCCGTTTTCTTGTCAGGAACCTCTGTGGATCTCTTTGCATCAATTCCATTTGCAAGCCCATTGCCTTCAAACTGCAAATGAAAGACAGCATCGTTAATGGAATGTCAAAAGAGAGCTCCACACCCAAAACAGTAACAGTTGGTGATGAAAATGACTTCTAGAAGCCAGGCCAGTGAAGATCTATGAAGAAATCTGCAGTGAGAACCCAAGTGGTGGTGCCTCTTTCAATTTATACATAATTATTGCTTGGCAAGGAGGAAATAACAGCAGAGACAACATCTTTGCATTTTGTTAGACAAGATAAATAACAACATTGTCTCCCATTATGAGTGGTAGAGCTGGCTGAAGAGTGTTTTTTTTTTTTTAATTCCGCTTCATGCATCTAGTGTGATCTACCAATTATTTGAGTTTTTCCTTCTCTGAAAGAATACCTAGTCATGAAAAAAAAAATAAAAATTAACTAAGCTGTTTCAGAAAACAGGTACAATTCCTATCCTTACAAGACCTACAAAAAGCTGTCTTGAAGCAACTATTTCTAGCTGGCTTGGTACCAGTAACTCCCTTTCATAGGAAAATAGCCACAAAAACATCTGTAAAAACACCCAATTCTTTACTCTTTTATCGTGACCACCCTGAACTATTTCTGGGTGCTTTATCTGGAGTTTCCCTGGTTAGGCAAATGCATTAATCTTACTTTATAAATTCCAGACTCATCCTCCTGATCTCTTTTCGTGGCTGAAGGTGCCCGTGGATTTCCAGCGCTGCCTCCTCGACCTTGTTTTGTTTCTTGCACAGCTTTCTTGGGCCATACACGCTTAATGAAAGGTGCAATAACAGGATAGATGTACGGTTCAAGGAATTTCTTGTAGACCCAGAGGAGAACCGGAATGACAATACAAGGAATGCACACCATGGCTTCCTCTTGTTCTCTGACAAAGCTGGTGAGGGGAAAAAAACCAAACAACTTAGGATAACAGTGTTTCTATGCCATGAGCTAAGAAAACAGTCTTAAATAATGAATAAGGATTGTAGTAGATATTCAAACATAAAAGATTCTTTAATAATAGATTAACTGTTAAGGTTTCAAAAATGCTGTGTGTTCCAATGTTATAAAGTCCTTGACAACAAGGGAAACATTCTTGACATTTTAATAAAAAAGGAGTAGAGTTTGCTGTTAATCCATCGTTCCTACAGCTGGAACTTGGAAAAACATGGAAAAACATATTGAGGAAATAAAAGTTTTTGCTGAAACCACACAAAAACATTTTAAGCAGGGAGCTGCAGATGTTAGCCCAGTGCTTACTGTATTACACAGAGGGCCCAAAAGGTTTGTTTTTCTCATTCCCTTTTTATTTAAGGTGAAATTAAATGGCAGGACTCTAGTCCTTCTAAAGGCTTGCCACCACTGAAAGGCAGGTCGGTTGGAGGAGGGAAGAAAATTCCTAGTCAGAATTTGAGAAAAGGAGAATATGGATTACTTCCTTTCTCCTGCACAGGAGGAATCACTTGATCCCACACCAATCGCATACAATTGGCCAAACTATTAGAAAATTAATCCTTCCCTCTCTCCCCAAACCAGGAAGAAGTATTCAAAAACGGCAGCAATAAAAACAGCAGAAAACCAAAGCACCAGGGCAGAAAAATACAATTGGGAGAGGAAAGAGTTAAGTAGGATTAGAGCTGGCCCTTTCAGTGCTGAGGAGCAATATATTAGATCCACTCTGCTGCCCAGCACAGCTTCGCCCTTCACACTCCTCCCTTCTGGGCTGCTGACATCTGAATTCTCACATGAAGCAGCAAAACAAAAGCCTTCCAGGGTCCCTCCACGGAGAAAGAAGAGGCAGATGTGCACACTCCATCTGGGATCAGAGATTCACTTTCTTTTTTCTTTAAACTATCCTAAAAATTCTTAGCCCCAGGCCCAATACCAGTTTCCAGCTGACTGCTTCCAAGTGTAGCTTTGGCTACTTCAAATGTAGTTTTACAGGATCTGAAGTCAGAGAGGAATCTTCAGTTGAGACAACACAAAGGAGGTAACCCATTAAAGCCGTTCAAAAAGACAATTCACAGAATCATTAAGGTTGGAAAAGACCTTTAACCATCAACACCACCATGCCCACTAAACCATGTCCCAAAATGCCACATCTACACGTTTTTTGAACACTTCCAGATCCTTGTTTCACAGTGATGGTGACTCCACCACCTCCCTGGCAGCCTGTTCCAACGTTTGACCACTCTCTCAGTACGAAGAAATTTTTCCTAGTATCTAATCTAACCCTCCCCTGGTGCAACTTGAGGCCATTTCCTCTCGTTCTGTCACTAGTTACTTGGGAGAAGAGACCAACACCCACCTCACTACAGCCCCCTTTCACTGTAATTGTAGAGATAATAGTAATTGTAGAGAGCGAAATTCCTGTATTCTCTCCACCGAGAAGTATCTTCCAAGATACTACATTTTCAGCAAGATGTTGCAGATTCCTCCACTAGTTAAAGATTGTGCCTGGAGAGAACATCCCAGGCTGTTTTTCTGAGGTAAATGCAAGTGTCTGTGCAGCTGCCTTCATGTCAAGATTCCAGACCAACAAAAATAAGACCTACCTCTGCCAGATGCAAAAGCAAGCCCCTTGGAAGTATGACACCAGCCTTCAACCACTGAAAGACTCTTCACGAGTTTCTTTGGTGATTTGTTGATGCTCTGCTGCCTGGTTAGCAGGCAACTGATTTTTAGGGAAAAAATAAACGAGGAGTAAAAGGGTAAATGGTCCAATTTTAATAGCAAGCTTCTTTCTTTGTGATATAAGCTTTTGTTTGTCTCTGTAAGCCACCATACGTTGAGGTCAGCAGAGAGAACATGCATGACATGGCAAAGTTCAGCACGTTTGGCCTTTGTTTCCCGTGTTTACCTCGGTCCCTACTCAACGATAATGGGGGGAAAAAAAAAAGCTACACAGACAAAAGAGCTTTTTTTTTCCCCCCCATAAAGGATGACCTAGCCTAGAAGAGCCAGTCTAGGCGCTATATCCCAGTTCTGTTCCTGCATAGGATGGCGTTCAGGCTAGCCCATTCCCCAGAAGCCAGGCCAACCTTCCCGGTTTACGGTAAACGACGAGCAGCGGCAGCACTCCCCCCTCCCGTTGGTACTGAGGTTAAGGCTGGAGCGCCAAGACTTTTCGAACCGGTAAAATTCTACACAAACACGCGTCGAAGCCAAACAGCTTC